TATTCTTAAAACCTGATATTGAGTAGTGCTACAATGAACAACAATTTTTGTGAATTAAAGTCGCGAAATATTTATAAAACTATATAATTTTATTTTGATTGATCAAAAACAAACTAGAAAAAGTAAAAATCACTGTGCTCAATTTTACCTTTAGGAACCAGGTAATAACTACAAACATAAGAACTCTTTCTCTTCGGCTCACCTCAATTTGCACTGATTAAATCTTATGTATATATTTCAGGTAAGCAGTTTATACAGGACTCAACCGTGAACTGAAAACACAATAAATCAGTCCAGGGTTAATTAATTTTACAATAAAACAGAATTCTAGCCTTTAAAAATAAAACTTTCTCCAGGTAAAACATTCAATTTTGTATAACAAATATTTAATTTTAAATAAATAGAAAAATTCACTTACAATGTTGATTTGTCCGGAGGTTTGTAGCCTATAGTGTTTAGAATGCACCACAGTCTCGGGTACGAGAACTAAATATGAGCTTTATAGAGTTGAGTTGAGATCTTTATGTGTATTTTCAAATATCCTTCTCAAGTATTGACTTTCTCACAGAGATCACAAGAATTGTAATCGAGATTAGTACCTGTATTTGATCTAGAGGAGGAGCTTAGATCAGGGATACAGAGTAGAGTCAGAGGTGCCGGAGAGGATAGGATAGGTGGTTGAGCAATATTTTTAGGTCGGATGAGCAATATTTTTAGGTTGGATGAACAATATTTTTAGGTCGGTTAAGCAATATTTTTAGGTCGGATGAGCAATATTTTTAGGTCGGATGAGCAATATTTTTAGGTCGGTTGAGCAATATTTTTAGGTCGGATGAGCAATATTTCTAGGTCGGATGAGCAATATTTTAAGGTCGGATGAGCAATATTTTTAGGTCAGTTGAGAATTTTTTTTAGGTCGGTTGAGCAATTTTATTAGGTCAGTTGAGCAATATTTTTAGGTCGGTTGAGCAATATTTTTAGGTCGGATTAGCAATATTTTTTTGGTTGGTTGAGTAATATTTTTATTTCAGAGGTTACAATAGATGAGTAATATTTTTTTTAAATGTTTAAATATAAAGTTGAACAACATAAAAACAACAATTTTCAATTAAATTAGTATTTATTTAGGGTTAGGTTAGGTAAAGACACTTTTTGGGCCGAGTGCTGCGGCTAGGACAGGCTAGGGGGCTGAGCACTGCGGCCAGGAAAGACCTTTAATTAAAGTTTTTTTAATAGGGTTAGGTTAGGTTCCCTAGAAACCAGTGACGTCACACGACTAGTCCCATTAGGTCAAGATAGGTCAGATTAGGTCGGGTTACGTCAGATTACCAAATTGGTTGCAATATGACCAGTCCCTTTAGGTCGTGTTAGGTCAGGTTAGGTTGGGTTACGTCAGATTACCAAACTTGTCGGAACATGACCAGTCCCCATAGGTCGTGTTTGGTCAGGTTAGGTCGGGTTAGGTCAAATAACCTAACTGGTCTGATACTGGTCTTAACCTGACCAATCCACTTAGGTCGGATTTGGTCAAGATTGGTTGAGTTATGTCAGGAGACCTAACTGGTCGGAACATGACCAGTCCTTCTAGGTCATGTTTGGTCAGGTTAGGTCGGATTAGGTTGAGTTACCTAACTGGTCTCATACTGGTCAATACTGGTCTTAACCTGACCAATCAACTTAAGTCGGATTTGGTCGTGATTGGTTGAGTTATGTCAGGAGACCTAACTGGTTGGAACATGACCAGTCCCCCTAGGTTGTGTTTGGTCAGGTTTGGTCAGGTTAGGTTGAGTTACCTAACTGGTCTCATACTAGTTTTAACTTGACCAATTCACTTAGGTCGGATTTGGTCGAGATTGGTTGGATTAGGTCGGACTTGGTTGCTTTACCTAGCTGGTCCTAACTGTTCATAACTTGACCTTTTAGTCAGATTATACAGGGGGGGGGCAGGGGTAGCAACAACAGAAGGACAGTATGGTGTGAATGTAATACCGGGGATGGAGGGTTAAAGTGTAGCAGTACTAATAGAGTAAATTAGGCTCTGCTCAGTGGTTAATAAATAGGATAAATAAATATCTAGTTTGGTGATTTGGACGTCAAAACTTTGGTCATTTGGACGTCAAAAGTTTGGTCATTTGGACGTCAAAAGTTTGGTCATTTGGACGTCAAAAGTTTGGTCATTTGGACGTCCAAAGTGACGTCATTTCGACTTCGGAAATTAGGTTGTGAGGACGTAAAAATCCTTGCGTTAAACGTCCTCAACACGTCCTCAACACCTAAAATATGTCGTCGTCGGACGTCTCATTGGTAATTATTGACGTCCTCATGACGTCCTAAGGACGACTTCTGGTTTCTAGGGTTAAGCTCATTTCTGGGCCGAGCGCTGCGGCTAGGATCCAGGCTAGGGGGCAGAGCACTGTGGCCACATGTCTTACATTTAATTGAAAATTGTTGAAAAAGTCGTGCAAAAAATTGATAGGAGGGGGAAGGGGGTCCAAAAATCGTTCTCTAGGAAATTACCAAATGATTTAAGTTATTTAGTATTATTTTAGGGTAGGTTAGGTTAAGCTCAATTCTGGGCCGAGCGCTGCGGCCAGGAAGACCAATTTTATCCATGTTTTCAATATGAGATGCATGTACAGGCCCCAACGGGTGTTGAGCCCCCCTCAAAAACCCCTTTTATTCATTACTGAAACAGTAGTGGTACAGTTCACAATTATGGCAATTATTGGTAAAACAACCTAAAAATATTGCTCATCCGACCTAAAAAAAATTGCTCATCCGACCATAAAATATTGCTCATCTGACCTAAAAATAATGCTCATCCGACCTAAAAATATTGCTCATCTGACCTAAAAAAAATTGCTCATCCGACCTAAAAATATTGCTCATCCGACCTAAAAATATTGCTCATCTGACCTTAAAAAAATTGCTCATCCGACCTAAAATATTGCTCATTCGTTCTAAAAAATTGCGTATCCGACCTAAAAATATTGCTCATCCGACCTAAAAAATTGCTCATCTGACCTTAAAAAATTGCTCAACTAACCTAAAAATATTGCTTAACAGACCTAAAATTGTCACTAATCCAACTTAAACTTCCTGGTAAACAGACCTAATATATATGCTAAACCAACCTAAATATATCTCTAAATCTTTGGTCGGAAAACCTATATATTTCTCATAGGATGTCAAACGGACCTAAAGCTTTTTTCAACCAAACCGACCTAAAACACAGGCAAACTACTCAATATTTAGGTCAGAAAACCTTTAGGTTAGAATCATCTAGGTCGGAATATACGGCATACATTNTCATGATCAGCTGATCATATATGTTATCTTTATAAATACTTTTTTAGCTTTATGATGATTTAGATCTAGATGTTTCTTTTCAGACTTTGTGAAAGTTTTTTTTTAAAGTTGAATCTATTTTTCAGATAAAATGGCAGAAACTACTATGGAAGAATTAAATATAGAAAAGTATGAGATAAAAGAAGAGATAGTTTCCTTCAAGGAGGAAATCCTTCCCTCTTCTACTTTAGAGGCTACATTTACTGTTAATCTACATAAAGATGATATAAAGATAGAAAATACAGGAATACAAGGTAAAATTAATAATTACACATTTTTATAAGCAAATATCTAAAATGTTATATACTCAAAAGAATAGTTTGAATATTAGAATAATGGATAATTTGTGCTATATTTTTTTTTTAAATTGAATATAAATGTTTAAGAAGCTGGAAAAAATTATCTAATGATCATTTCCGAAAAATAATTAAAAAATCACTGACACCTTGAGTAAACCTGTATTTTTATGTTTAGATGTATTGAACACTGGAATACATGAAACAGTAGAGAATAAACCTGTATTTTTGTTTGTTTAGATGTATTGAAGACTGGAATACAGGACACAGAAGAAAATAAACCTGTATTATTATGTTTAGATGTATTGAAGACTGGAATACAGGACACAGTAGAGAATAAACCTGTATTATTATGTTTAGATGTATTGAAGACTGGAATACAGGACACAGTAGAGAATAAACCTGTATTATTATGTTTAGATGAATTGTAGACTGGAATACAGGACACAGTAGAGAATCAACCTGTATTTTTATGTTTAGATGTACTGAAAACTGGAATACAGGAAACAGTAGAAAATAAACCTACAATGAACAACAATTTTCTCATTGTAAATTTGGTCAACTAACATAATATAAAGAATAGTTTCGTTTTGTATAGTTTTACTTATTCTTAAAACCTGATGTTGAATAGTGCTACAATGAACAACAATTTTCTCATTGTTAATTTGGTCAACTAACATAATACAATGAATAGTNTTTTTCCTCGTAAACTATTTTGTTCCCCCCTAAATATTATCAATCTTCCATAATTCAGCAAAGTAATTCCCCCCAAAATGACCTAACTTCTTGGAGTAAAAATTATCTTAAAAGAGGGGGGGATTTTTAAAGAAAATATAAACCCCTGTGGTTTCTCCTACTTAGGTATTTCCTCTTTCTGCCAACACTTTCCATTACTCTTTTTCCTATTTAAAATTAACACTTGCAAACTGTTGCTTTGTCCATATATCATTCTTCTATTATGCATTCTGGATAATGTCAAAGATGTCTGCTTTGTATTGGGAAAATTTTAGGCCCAACGTTTTTTTGTCAATAGAGTATCCTAATCGTCCTTTTTCCCTGGTTTTTATTGAACTTAGAAAAAAGGACAGAGATGTTTAGAAGTACCTTTAAATCAATTAAGGAAAACTTTTATAAAATTCCTTTGAGATCGCAAATCATAATTTATGTAATTTTTACACAAACAAGCTTTATAAGTAAAAATAGTTTATGTTTATCTATTATCCAGAAGAAAACCTGGAAAATGAAATGAATTTTACTTTTAATGAATTTATTATATTGAATTCAAAATTATACAGGTAATTACAAAAATAAATAGTGTTAAATCAAAATACAAATCATTTGCCATGCAAAAGGTAGGGCTGGGCGCGTTCCTGGTGGAACGATCGTTCTTTAGAACGAACGGAACGATCAAGAACAATCCCATCGTTCCGAAAAAAACAAACGCTTAGAACATGTTCTTAAAAATATTGGAATGATTAGTAAAAGAACGGAACGGAACAGAACGGGAATTGCATGAAAAGAACGGTTAAAATCATTAACGCGTTCTTATTATCAAGAACTTGTTCTAAGTTGGGAACGCATTTTAAATCAATCAAAACGAACAAATCAGGCCCACATATTCAATGGGATCTCATGTGACCCCAAGGAAGTTTTATGTGTGATCAAATTTAAAAAATTCGATTTTTGACAAATTTTAAAATCCACAAAATCTTTTTATAAAATCCATGGAATTTTTTGTTAGTTTTTGTTTTACAATGTATACAAAGAGAACATGTCTACAATTGAAATAAAATGTGGGATTGAAGCGCCTTAAAAGCCTTGTGGCATATATCTTTCTTATTACAGTCAAAATTGACCAGGCAGTCAATTTTGACTGATGCCGAGTAGGACAAAATTGACCAGGTCCTTTATCATTCATTGAAAAAAATGAAACTTGAGGGCTTTTCTATGGACAGTAAAACAAGTTAACCCTTTGAATTTCAGCGATATCAGAAAGACTATATTGTCTCGTCCTAATGGGTTAAGATAATGCTTTAATGTTTTTAAAGAGAAATGTTACCTTGCTGTTAGGATTTCTGAGAACACTGGCTGGGTTTCTTCTACAAAGGATAAAACTGTTGTTCTTATATTCCGGGCTCTCAAGGTATTGCCAACATATTGTCATTGTTAACATTCAATCACAAGTAAAAACTACAGTCTACAGGAATCTCAAATTAGATTGTGAACTTATGATTAAATCAGTAGTGGTGATTGATAATAGTTTTTTAAGATATCCCAAACAATTTTGAAGATATCCCAACCAAAAACAATTTGACAGTCTTTACCAGCTCAGGCACATCTTCTGATACCAATGTTAATGGGTTACGTTGTAATTTAGGTACTGCCATCTTGTTAAGGAATTTTCAGATGACCAATAGAAAAAAATAATTCTTACCCTTAATATGTATCGTTAGATGAAATTATAGCTCAATATCAAGAACATTAGGATATAATCTCTGATTAAGTTTCAAAAAGCCATACACAAAATATTTTTTCTTGATTTAGCATGCTGAGGGGGGGAATGCAAGCTTCACTTAAATAGCCTCCATCCTGCATTTTATTCACAAACATGTACTTGCCAGAACAAGCTCACTCACAGCACTATCTTAGCAGGCCACACCCTTATATCTTCTGGCAAAATGTCTTTATTAATTTAAGATTTTAAAGATGTCATGGCATCCATTATAACCTAAACATATTAATCATATTTTTTTGGTTATACATTGGTAAACATCCGCGTTTACTGGGGCAATATATTTGTTGTATTTTTATTAACAACTGTGTTTTATAACAAATTCTTTGAAAATGAAATATTTTGTACAAGTGTAACCTATTTTTATAAGAAGGCAGTCAAGGCAAAGATTTTAATTAATCTGTATCAAGTATTTCTTTAAATCTCAGGGGAGACCTAAAATTGACATTTTTAAGGGATCCCAGACGCTCCATTATAGTACTGAAATCAAAAAATTTTCCCTTCTTCTGCGGACCTCAAAACCTTGCAAAATAGACCTGTTCCTTAGATGTGGAGTTTGGAAAATATATGATTCTGAAGAGGGTGGAGGGGGCAAAAATACTAGTCTCACAAGAAATATACACCCCTGTGGTTTTTCCTACTTAGATATTTCCTCTTTCTGCCAACACTCTCCATTATGATATTTCCTATTTAAAATTAACACTTGTAAACTGTTGCTTTGTCCATATATCATTCTCCTTATATGCATTCTGGATCATGTCAAAGATGTCTGCTTTGTATTAAGAAAATTTTAGGCCCAACGTTTTTTTGTCAATAGAGTATCCTTATCGTCCTTTTTCCCTGGTTTGTATTGAACTTTGAAAAAAAAGGACAGAGATGTTTAGAAGTACCTCTAAATCAATTAAGGAAAACTTTTATAACATACCTTTGAGATCGCAAATTTAATATTCATAATTTATGTAATTTTTACACAAACAAACTTTATAAGTAAAAATAGTTTATGTTTATCTATTATCCAGAAGAAAACCTGGGAAATGAAATGAATTTTATTTTTATTGAATTTATTATATTAAACTCTAAATTATACAGGTAATTAATAAAAAAATATTGTAAAATCAAAATACAAAATCATTTGCAATGCAAGAGGTATAAAAATACAATCAAAACCTACCTACAAATGTGGTTGTTTCCTTTTGAGATGAAACATAAGATCCATTCACTCTTGTTGGAACTGATGTGAGAATTTCTATTAAAACTCCGGAATTTTTATTCACACATTAAAAAAATTTCAACTCATTCAACCTATGAATAGTTTAATTTTATCTAATAGTTAATATCAATTACCAATGTGTTTGGTTTGATATGCTCATGATAAGTTTAGATTTGATATATTAAACTAACATAATACAAAGAATAGTTATGTTTTTTATAATTTCACTTATTCTTAAAACCTGATATTGAGTAGTGCTACAATGAACAACAATTTTCTCATTGTAAATTTGGTCAACTAACATAATACAAAGAATAGTTTTGTTTTGTATAATTTCACTTATTCTTTAAACCTGATAGTGATTAGTGCTACAATGAACAACAATTTTCTCATTGTAAATTTGGTCAACTAACATAATACAGTTTTGTTTTGTGTAATTTCACTTATTCTTAAAACCTGAATAACAATTTTGGATATGTGCGATACAACCATGTCCAATCTGATTGGATAATTTAAATACTTTCAAATTGAATTAAAATTCGTTTATGGTGATGGACCAAAAAAAATTTAAATGGGCTGTCAAATGATATGGAAAAAAAGATTGATTTTAAAAATGTAAGTGAATAATCTATAACGTTGGAAACCCTAGTCTGCATATAAGACAAATATGGATATAAGTCCGATCAGTCAAAGGTTACTGTTGTGATTCGAACACGCTTCTTTACAAATGAGAGGTCACTTAAAATTGGCATTCTGCCTACACTCCATCATGTGTGAACTATTTCAAAATTGTATTTTTGTTAAGTTCGGTTTAATTCTGTAAAAATATGTACTCTAGCCAAGATTTCAAGAAGACTCGGATAAAATATATTGCCTGAGAAAAAAAGTCAATAATTTAATAAAAGCAAACTTACATACTGTAGAAATGTAGAAATTCTATTAGAATTTATACAATTCCATCTGGAAGCCCTCCAATCGAAAAACTCCCATTTTATCTGAAATAAATGGAATATTTAAGTACTGTGAAAACCCGACGGACGGTGCATTGGAAGTGAGCCTTCTGGGCCTTACAAGGCCTGATGAAGGCTCGGTGCCGCGCTCTACTCGTCTGCGGCGCACTCCAGGCTCTCTGTCTGCCCTTACTCATACCGAGCGCGTTTTATAAAGTTCAAAATAGTTTTAAAGGGACTAGTCCTGATAATTCGGATGGATTGTCCAAATTGCTGTACTAAAAGGAATTAGGATGGTTTAGCCAGCCTCAGATTGGTTTTCTTCTTCTTGTTTTGATGACATGTATCTTTTGATTTTCTAACTTGTCTTCTCCTTTTTATTTTTAAAAGGATTTGTTAGATTCCTTTTGGTCGTCTTTGAGTTGTGTTTCGACAACATCTTTCCATTGGGGTCTCTATGTTAGGAACCGGTTTTGGATACGTTGACCAATCACGGCGGTGAATAGTCGGTTTCCAGAATGATTCTGACCAATGAGGAAGATTTATTGTGAACTGACCAATCCTGATACGAGAAGTTTTTTTTTCATCCAATGGCTGGCTTTCATGATGAATTTGTTTCATCATTCTCCATGTAAACTCGTTTATATGTGTGACTGTGCATAACGCTTATCCTTAAATCATTGTTTTCCAGGCTTCGTCCCTTTATGTCGTTTACGATTTTCACAGGTGCTTTTATAATGTTCTTTATTCACTATTGTCTTTAATAATTCCTGAAACTGAAAAATAATTTTTAAAAAA